AAAAAAAAGCGGAAAATCCAAAATATAAAAAGAAAACCAAAAAGCAGTTAGCCGAAGAATTAAAGCCAAAATCCACGATTATCAATTTAGAAAAGTTTAGAACAAAGGAACAGGAACCGATGATTATGTATTTTGAACCATACGGACTGCCAGTTTATAATTTGGCAGGCAAAAAAAACGGATTAGAAGCATGACATAGAGAATTTATTAAGGAGAATAACGATAAAGTTTGAGAAAAAAGGTTAGAAAAAGAAAGACAAGAAGCGGAGCAAATTGCGGCAAAGTTGGAGCGGAAGCGAGCCAAGAAAAAAACAGCCCGACCAGTTATTTTAAACGAAGAATTAAAAAAACAGATAGGGACGGGTCAAATAATAGACGGAACATGAAAGCCGGGCAGTGGAAAAAAAACCAAGCATCGCAAAGGTTTTTATGTTGGAATTGAGCCACTTAATTTAGATAATCCAATTTTTAAAAGTAAAGAATTATTAGGAACATGAAGAAATTATAAAACGGGTCGCTTATTCGTTGATAAGGTAGAGCATATTTTAGATAGAGAAAAAGCAATAAAGACAGCCAAAGCACGCGGAGAGATAGCAATTTGAGATATAGCAGCCGCCGCGGAGATTAGAGTTGATGAAGAAAATGACCGCTCTCTATAAATAGCGGTCATAAAGATATAAATATTTAAAGAAATCATAATGGAAACTACAATTAATATTAGCGAAAGCCCAAAATACGATAGATATACATTAGACAAAGCAGAAATCCATAATTATATAAAAGATAATTTGGAACATTGAAGAAAAAAAATGTTGGAGCACAAAGAAGAGCAAAAACAATATATTCAAAGTAAATGAGAGGTAGCAAAGTGCGGTTATTGTTTCAAGCGAAAGTATAACAAAAGCCTATTAATGATTATAAAAGGCGAGTGGAAAGGAATAGATAGCATTTTTGAAATTGTATGTTCTACATGTTTATTTAAAAATAAAATCTGAAAATAAAAATCATGGCAGAAAATAATTGAATTAAATATTGAAAGAAGGCAGGACGAAAGAAGGGATGAATAAATGGAATATACTATTGTGATATTCATGAGCCACACGATGCTAAAAAATGTTTAAAAAAAGCAGAGAAATTAAAAGATAAAAAATAAAAAAAAGACAAAGGGGAAGCCGCGAGGCCCAAAAGAAGCGGGATAATATATGGAAACTACTGCAATAAAATCAATAGAAAATATGGCAGCGGCGAGACCAAAAAAAGACCGCCGAGAATATTATAAAAATAGATATCGAACAAAAAAAGAATGATATCATAATTGGTATTTACAAAGAAAAAGCGAGCAGAAAAAGCAAGAAAAAGAAAGTCGCGGCAAGTATTACGAAGCAAATTATATTCGAATATTAATGCCGCTTAAAGACTACATAAATAACAGTCCGGAAAAGAAAAAATTGTGATTAGATTTTTGCCATTCATTAAAAAATTTGGATGAGGAAGGGGTTGAAGACATAATTCAGATAATGCGGTTGCGGGAATTAGCGGACAATTTAATTGGAGATTATTGAGAGACAGCAAAGGGAAGGATAAGGAAGGATAGAGAATGGAATAAGTTAACGCCTGCCGAGCAAGCCTCCAAGTTAAAGTATTGGGAAAAAGAATATGAACGACGGGAAAAGGAGTTGTTTGATAGGTTGGAGGAACAAGAAGAACATATGAAACGAAAGGCAAAAGCAAAAGCCATTCAAAAACAAAATGAAGGAGTGGCAAGAATGCTTAATGAAAGAAAGGATAAAGAAAATAATTGTAATGGATGCCAAGAGTTAAGAGTGTTAAATGATGATGGGTATTGTAAAAAGTGCGTGGATGAAAGCAATATTTTTTAATAAGTGTGTAGAATTGTGTAGAATAAAGAATAAAAAAACAATGAATTTTATCAGTAAAAAGCATTAAAGTTATAGAATTACAAGAAATTAAATATAGAATATTTAAAGAATTAAGAATATGGTAGTAAAAAAGTATAAAGGATATATAGAAATTGACAGAAAATATTTAAAAGAAGCAGAGAAAACATTAAGGGAGCATTTT